AGTGTGTTTTAATAAGATTGGAAGTAGCTGTTTCTTTAATTCAATCTTATGTTTATTCAATTTTAAGAACTTTATATTCTTCTGAAATGAGGTAATGAAAATAAATATAAATTATTCATTTCATTTAGTGACTTTTAGACCTTGACCAATTTTAGGGTCATTTAGAACTTTTGTATTTATAGTAGGGAGAGTTATAATATTTAGTGAAAAAGAAACATATTTAATAAATTGAGGGTTGATTTTATTACTTTTATGTAGGGGACAGTGGTGACGAGATGTAATTCGTGAAGGTACTTTACAAGGGAGGCATACAAAAATTGTTGTTAGGGGGTTAAAATTGGGGATAATTTTATTTATTGTTTCTGAATTAATATTTTTTGTATCTTTTTTTTGAACATTTTTTCATTCTTCTCTTTCTCCAAATATTGAAATTGGGAGAGAGTGGCCCCCTCAAAATATTGAACAGTTTAATCCTTATCAATTACCATTATTTAATACTGTAATTTTATTATCTTCTGGAGTTACAATTACATGAAGACATTATTCAATTTTAAATAAAAATTGAGGGAGAGCCAAATTTAGATTATTGATAACAATTTATTTAGGAATGTTATTTACTTGTATTCAAATGTTTGAGTATAGGGAGGCAACATTTATATTTAGGGACTCAATTTTTGGATCAATTTTTTTTTTAACAACTGGGTTTCATGGAATTCATGTAGTTGTTGGTTCAATTTTTTTATTAGTAACTTGATTACGGTTAAGAAAATTTCATTTTAGGTCCTTTCATCATTTTGGGTTTGAAGGAGCTTCATGGTATTGACATTTCGTTGATGTTATTTGAATTATTGTTTACTCAATAGTATACTGATGACATTATTAAAACTATTATTAAAAATATTATATAAAATTTATTATAATTTAATAATAGTTTTAATTTTTTAGTTATATAAATATATTTAATTATTTTTATAAATTTAATTTTAATTTTTTTGGGAGTATTAATTTTATGTATTAATATAATTTTGTCAAAAAAGAGGTTTAAACTTCGGGGGAAGGTCTCAACTTTTGAGTGTGGGTTTGACTCATTATCACTAATTCGGGTCCCCTTTTCTATTCAGTTTTATTTAATTAGAATTATTTTTTTAGTTTTTGATGTAGAGATTACTTTAATTTTGCCAGTGGTTAAGTTATTTAAGTTTAAAGAATTGAATTTTAAATTTATTTTTTATTTCATTTTAGTTATTTTGTTGGTAGGGGTTTATTATGAATTAAAAGAAGGGTCTTTAAGGTGAGTTTAAGGTTGGATAAACCTAAAAATTAGGATTTAATTTCGACTTAAATATATAGTTAATTTTTAACTTATTCATTTTTTTGGGGGGGGAATTGATTAAATTAATTATTAATTAAGTTATTAATTAAATGGTATGCCTGATTAAAGGGTTATTATGATTAAATAAATTATGTAAATTAAATTTTTATTACCATTAATTATATATTAGTGTTAAATTGCACAAAAATTTTTGATATTTTTAGAATTAATTAGAATTTAATATATATATAATTTATTATGGCAGATTAGTGTATTAATTTTAGGAATTAATTATATATAGAGATATATTAATAATAATTTTAAGTTATTAAGACTATTAATTTTCAAAGTTAAAAGGATAAAATTTTTTATAAATTATATTTAATATGGCAGATTAGTGCAATGAGTTTAAGTTTCATTTAAAAAATTAAAATATTTTTATTAAAATATGTTTATTATAATATTTTTTGATACAGTTTTAAGAAATTTAATTATAATTTTAGTTGTGTTGGTGGGTGTAGCTTTTTTAACTTTGTTAGAACGTAAAGTATTAGGGTATATTCAAATTCGTAAGGGGCCAAATAAAATTTTAATTAAAGGAATTTTACAACCTTTTAGAGATGCTGTAAAATTAATAAGAAAAGAGTTTTTTTTAATTAAAAATTTAAATTATATATTTTATTTGTTTAGACCTTGTTTTAGATTTTTATTAATATTGATAATATGATTGTTGATTCCAAATTTTTATAATTTATTTTGTAATAATTTTAGAATATTATTTATTTTATGTTTTTTAAGAATAGGTGTTTATATAATAATATTAAGGGGGTGATCTTCTAATTCAATGTATTCAATATTAGGAAGAATTCGGGCAGTTTCTCAGTCTATTTCTTATGAAGTTAGTTTAATTTTACTTTTATTAAGAAGATTAATATTTATTGAAAGTTTTGATTTAAAAGTTTTTATTAAAATACAAGGTAAAATTTGAATATTTTGGTTTTTAAGGTTAATTATATTAATATTTTTAGTAAGTGTTTTGGCAGAGTTAAATCGAACTCCTTTTGATTTGGCAGAGGGGGAATCAGAGTTAGTTTCAGGGTTTAATACTGAATATATAAGAGGAGGGTTTGTATTAATTTTTTTATCTGAATATGGTATAATTATATTGATGAGATTTTTAATTGTTTTATTTTATTTTATGGATAATTTTAGTTTAAGGGTAATATTTAAAACTTTAATTTTTATAATTTTAATTATTTGTATTCGAGGGAGTTTCCCTCGAATACGTTATGATAAATTGATAATATTAATTTGGAAAAAGATGTTGATTATTATTTTAAATTTTTTAATTTATTTAAATTTTATTAAATGAATAATTAATATTATTTTTAAAAGATTTTAAGTTAATGAACTTGATAAAGTGTATATTTTGAATATATATTATAGAGATAAAAATTTTCTATTAACTTATTAAAATAATTAAAAGATTGAATCTAATTAAAATAAAAATTGAAATAAAATAGTTATTAAAAATTTTTATTAAAAAAAAATTATTTTTTTTAAAGATAATTTTACTTAAAAATTTTCTGTAGTATTCATTTCATAAGGTTTCATTAAAATAAAATATTTTTAAAGATAAATTATTTAATCATATTTTGATTATTAAAGAATTTTTTTGTAGTAAGAAGAAATTAGTTAAAATAAAATTAATTGAGGGAAAATTTAAATTTCATATATTTTTTTTAGTAAATAGAAATCTTAAACTAAAAAATATTATTAAGTAAATTAAAAATTTTAATTTGAAATTTAGGATTCTAATTCTTAGAGAAGAAAATATTAATCAGTTTATTAAATTTCCAAAAATAATTGATATAAAAAATAATATTGAAATAGAAAAATTTATAATAAAATTATCTTTTTTTAGGGATATTGGTGAAAAAGAGGAGGAGTTGAATGTTAAAAAGAATATTAATCGAAGTGTGTATATTATAGTTAAGGAAATGGAAATGTATATTAAAATTATAATTATTGGGTTGATATAGAAATTTAGTGATATTTCATAAATTATGTCTTTAGAATAGAATCCTGATAAAAATGGGAATCCACATAGTGATAAGTTTGCAAAATTAAAAAATATAATTACTATTGGGCATTCATAAATTAATGACCCTATAAATCGAATATCTTGATAATTTAGTATAAAGTGAATTATAATACCTGAACAAAGAAAAAGTAAAGATTTAAATATAGCATGTGAAATTAAGTGGAAAAATACGTAGTTTGGTAGGTTATAGGCAAGTATATGTATTATTAATCCTAATTGTCTTAATGTAGAGAAAGCAATAATTTTTTTTAAGTCAAATTCAAATAAAGCATTAATTCTGGATGTAAGTATTGTTAATAAACCAATAATTAAAATAATTCAATTTATTTTTATAAATAAATAGTTGAATCGGATAAGAATATAAATTCCAGCTGTAACAAGGGTTGATGAGTGGACAAGAGAAGAAACAGGAGTGGGGGCAGCTATTGCAGCAGGGAGTCATATAGAAAATGGGATTTGTGCTCTTTTTGTTATAATTATAATTAATAAAAAAATTAAAAATATTAAAGAGTTAAAATTATAAAATTTAATATTTCATGATTTTAAATTTATAGATAAAAAAATTATTATAAGAAGTATAATGTCTCCAATACGGTTAGTTAATAAAGTAATTATACCTGAATTAAAAGATGTTGAGGATTGGTAGTAGATAATTAAACAGTAAGAGACTAAACCTAAACCGTCTCATCCAAGAATAATTCTTATTATATTAGGGCAAATAATTATTAAAATTATTGAGATAACAAATAATATTAGAATTATTGAAAAATATTTTTTTTTAATTTCTATAAGTATATATTCTTTTCTGTATATTATTACTATTGATGAAATAAATATAACAATTCTTAAGAATATTATCCTTATTCAGTCTATTAAAATTATTATTTCAAAATTTAGGTTAATTAAAGAAATAATTATTCATTCAATAATAATTGTTTTTTTAATTAATAATAGGGTGATACTAAAAATTATTGAAGAAATTCTTAATAAAAATAATATTAAAGAATATAAAAAGTTAATTATAGTTTAAATTAAAATTTAAGATTTTGATTTAACAAATCAATAGTTTTAAACTAGTTAAAAGTAAATGTTAAGATAAGAATTGGGATTGTATGAAGAGTTAAAATTAATATTTCTATAATATTGATAGAAAAAAAATTGTTAAGATTTTTATTTATAAAGCCGTGTTGGGTCCTTCCAAAAAAGAATATTGAATAAATTACACTTGTTATTCTAATAATTATTAAAAATGGGATTAATGAAATTCTAAATTTTAAAATTCTATTAATTAATAAAATTTCTCTAAAAAGATTAAGTGAAGGTGGGGTGGCTATATTAAAAATACATAATAAGAATCAAAATAATCTTAATTGTGGGGTTAAATTTATTAATCCTTTATTAATAATTATTCTTCGAGATTTAAATCGGGAGTAGGATAAGTTTACAATAAAAAATAATGCAGAGGAGCATAAACCATGACTAATTATTATAATAATTCTTCCTATAATTCCTAATATTGATATAGTAAGGATTCCTGCAAGTAATATATTTATGTGTACTACTGAAGAGTAAGCAACTAATTTTTTTATATCTATTTGTTTTAAACAAATTAAAGATGAAAAAATTGATCCAATAATACTAATTGAAATTAAAATATAATTATATTTTATGCATAGGTATTCTATAATAAATATAATTCGTAGAATGCCGTAACTTCCTAATTTTAGTATAATTGATGCTAAGATTATTGAACCAGTTACTGGAGCTTCAACATGAGCTTTTGGGAGTCAAAGATGAACAAAAAATATAGGTAATTTAATTAAAAAAGATAAAAGTAAATATATATATATATAGTAGTTATTAATAAAGTTTGTATTTATTAATAAAATTAAATTTAGGGTGTTTGAACTAATATAAAGGTTAATAAAAATTATTATAAGGGGGAGAGAGGCAAATATTGTGTATAAAATTATATATATTCTTGCCTCGATTCGTTCAAATTGACCTCCTCATCCTATAATTAGTATAAAAGTTGGGATTATTCTAATTTCAAAAAAAATATAAAAAGAGAAAAAATTTATTGAAATGAAAGATATAATTAAAGAGGTTATTAAGATTATTATGTTAATTAAATAAATTTTTTTAAAATTTATGTTTATTCAAGCTATAATTATAAGAATAAAAATTCATAGAGTTAAAAGAATTAAAATAAATGAGTATTGGTCAATAAAAATTATAAATATAATTTTATTTATTAATAATGGATAAAAAATAATTAAATTAATAGTAAATAATGAAATTCAATTAATTAAAAATAAAAAATTTAAATTTTTATTGATTAAAAATGTTAAGGAGCAAAAAATTATTATTAATAAAATTTTCATTAAAAATTTAAATTTAAGGAGTTAGTATTATCTTTACCTTTAAAGTGAATTATCAAAATTAATAAAGTTAATCCTAGAACTCTTTCACAAACAATTATAGTTAATAAGATTATAATAAAATATTCTATTTTTAATAATATTATTAAATAAAATGCGAATAAAATTATATTTATTATGATAATTTCTAATCTTATTAATGATAAAATTAGATGTGAGTATATTGGTGTAATTGAGAAAATAGTAATTAAAAATATTAAAATAAATAAAGTTAATAAATTAATTTAGCTAAGTAGTTTAATAAAAACATTAATTTTGTAAATTAAAATTAAATAGATATTTTTTAGCAATTTTATTAAATTTTTTAATATTAAAGATAAATATTTATATTTTTAATTAATAAAATTTTTTGATTTAAAGGTATTTAAAGGTATTTAAAAATAATTATTTTCAAATTATTTAAATAAATAAAAAATTTAAAAATTTATTTTTAAAAATTATTTTAGTTCCAATAAAAGAGTTTGAATTGGAATAATTTAAAAGTTATAATTATATTTAATTAAATTCAAAAGTTACATTTAAGTTAAAAGAAATTGGTAATTAAAAATTATTTATAAAATTATATTTAGTTAAAAGATTAATATATTAAAATTATTTTAGTGTTTAAAAAAAGGATTCAAGTTAAAATTTAATATTTTTAGTATCTATTAAATTTATTTAAATTTAATTTAAGATTTACAAAAAAATAATTTTTTTATAATTTTAATCTCCAAAATTAATGTTTTGTTTAAACTATTTTTTGAATATAAGTAAAAAATTATTAATATTTTTAGTATTTAATTTATATATATATTTAATTTTATTTATAATTTTTATTGTAATAATTTTATTAAGTTTAAAAAATATTCATCCTTTAATGATAGGTATTTTTCTTATTTTGCAAGTTTTTTGTGTAGTTTTATTGTTAGGAATTTTTTTTTGTTCAAGATTTTATTCAATAATTTTATATTTAATTATAGTTGGAGGTATATTAATTTTGTTTTTATATTTTAATAGATTTGCTCTAAATAATAAAATAGTTTTAATAAAGATTGGGATACTAAATTTTTTATTTAAAATATTTTTTTTGATTTTAATAATTTTTTATTTAATTTATAGTTATGATGTAAGAAGAATAATTTTATTTTTGAATGATGTAATTTTTGAGATAAAAGGAAAAATGTTTAATTATGATTTTAGGTTAACTTACGTTTATTTAAAATTTAGGGTTTTAATTTTTTTTATAATTTTATATTTATTATTTGTGTTAATTTTGGTAGTTAAAATTTTATTATTCTACAAAACTAAAACAATACGACAAATATTATAATGAAAATTTTTAGGAGGGCAATAAGGTTAAAAAAAGAATTATTATATTTACCTACCCCTGTAAATATTAATATTATATGAAATTTTGGATTTTTGTTAGGCATATGTCTATCAATTCAATTAATTAGAGGAGTATTTCTTTCTATACATTATAATGCAAGTGTCGAGTTAGCTTTTAATAGGGTAATTCATATTATGCATGATGTTAATGGGGGGTGGTTGATTCGGTTAATTCATATAAATGGGGCTTCATTATTTTTTATGTGTTTATTAATTCATATTGGGCGAGGTTTATACATAAATTCATTTTTATTATTTTATCCTTGATTAAGAGGGAGATTAATATTTTTAATATTAATGGGGGTAGCTTTTTTAGGGTATGTTTTACCTTGGGGTCAAATATCATTTTGGGGAGCAACAGTTATTACAAATTTATTATCAGCTATTCCTTTTTTTGGTAATGAGATTGTGGTGTGGTTATGAGGAGGGTTTAGAGTAGGGGGAGCTACTTTAAGACGATTTTATAGATTACATTTTATTTTACCTTTTTTAATTTTAGTAATTGTTTTATTTCACTTATTTAGGTTACATTCAACAGGGTCAAGGAACCCATTAGGAGTAGTAGGAAATTTAAATAAAATTCCTTTTCATAATTATTATTTAATTAAGGATAGATTAGTTTTAATTTTTATATTAATATTTTTATTAATTTTGGTATTTTTATTTCCATATTTATTAGGGGATCCTGAAAATTTTAATGTTGCAAATTCAATGGTTACTCCTATTCATATTCAACCAGAATGATATTTTTTATTTGCTTATGCAATTTTACGTTCAATTCCAAATAAATTAGGAGGTGTAATTGCATTATTTTTATCTGTAAGGATTTTAATAATTTTACCTTTTTTTACTATAATAAAATTTCAAAGGTTAAGTATGTACCCATTGAATCAGTTTTTATATTGAATATTTATTAATGTTTTTATTTTATTAACTTGAATTGGAATAAAACCTATTGAATCTCCTTTTATGGAGTTTGGGCAGATTCTTACAGTATTATATTTTATATATTTTTTAATTAATTTTTTTTTTTTAAAATATTGGGAAGGGGTGATTGAATAAGTTTTATAGTTTAAAAAAAATTTTAAATTGCAAGTTTAAAGATTTTAGTTATAAATAAAACTTTATTAAAGTTAATTTATATTTAATATTAATTTATAAGTTTAATATAATATATAATTTATTAAAAAAATTTTTATTAAATGAATAAATTTTAGTTTAATTAATAAGATTATTATAATTTAAGAAATTATTATTTTGTAAAATTTTTATTATCAATTAATGGAGTGCCAGCAATAGCGGTTAGACTTTTAGATAGAAAATTAATTTATTTTTAGTTAAATTAAGTTAATAAAATTTAATAAATTTATTTAAATTAATAATTTTTTAGTGGTATATAAATTATTTAAAAAGTATGTTTATTAAAATTTTAATATTAAATTATAATAAATAAGTTTAGACTAGGATTAGATACCCTATTATAATATTTTTTAAATAAGTAATTAATAAAGTAAATTAAAATTGAAATAAATAGATATGACGGTATTTTAATTAATTTAGAGGAATCTGACGTTTAATTTGATGAACCACGATAAGAAATACTTAATGTTTTTATTTTTGTATATTTTTGTTGAGAAAAGTTTTTATTAAAATAATTTTAAATTTGTTTAATTTATTTTATAATTTTATTCAAATCAATATGTAATTAAATTAAGAATTAGTTGAATTACAATAAATTAAATTTAAATATTTTAATTTTAATATTAAAATTAAATAGGATTTAAAAGTAAAATTAAATAATTTTTTAGTTTGAATATTAATATTAAAATATGTACAAATCGCCCGTCAATTTAATCAATTATTAAACATAGTTAGGTTAAGTAAGTCGTAACAAAGTAAATGTACCGGAAGGTGTATTTAGATTAAATAGAAAATTAATTTTGAATTTATATTTGGGTTTGTAATTTTTTTATAATTAAAATAATTTTAAAAAATCTTTTTTAGTAAATTTTTTAAAAAAAAAAATAAAATGATAGTTATAATTATTGTAAAAGAAAATAAAAATTAATAAAAATATAATTTAATTTATTTTACCTTTTGTATTAGGGTTAATTAAAAATTTTTATTTAAGTTAAATTTTTCGAAATTAATAGGGATAAAATTTTATAGAGTTAAAGTAATAAATTTATTTAAAATAAAATTTTTGTAATTAAATGTTAGTCGAGATTAATGATATCTAATTAATTAATAAATGAATTTAATTCATAAATTTAAGTATCATATATTTATATTTTTAAAGTAGGTGTAAATTTAAATTTAAATATTTTAAAGGATAAATTTTAAAGTAAAGTTAAAAATTTTAATTTAATTAAATTTATATAATATAATTTAAAATTTTAATTTTTTAAAAAAATGTAATAATTTATTTTTTAAATTAAATTGATTTAAGTAAAATTTTAATTAAAATTATTAATTTATAATTTTAAATATTAAAAAGTTAAAAATAATGATTAAATTAGTAAAAAAATTTTATAGTGTAATTAAAATTAAATAAAGTAATTTTAATGAATTCGGCAAGTTGAATATTTACCTGTTTATTAAAAACATGTCTTTTAAAATTTAATTAAAAGTCTAGTCTGCTCAATGAAAATTTTTAAATAGCTGCAATATTCTAATTGTACAAAGGTAGCATAGTAAAAAGTTTTTTAATTGGAAAATTGAATGAAAGATTGGATAAAATATTAACTTTATTAAAATTAAAATAATTAAATTTTATATTTAAGTAAAAAATCTTAAAATTAATTAATAGACGAGAAGTCCCTATAAAATTTTATAAATTAATTTTAATATAATTTATTAATTTTTATTATAAATTAAATTTATTTAATTGGGGACATTAAAAAAATTTAAATTTTTTTTATTAAATAATATATAAATAAATATAATTTTAAAGAGTGTTAAATTTTAAATTATTAGATTAAGTTACTTTAGGGATAACAGCATAATATTTTTGGAGAGATCTTATTGATAAAAATGTTTATGACCTCGATGTTGAATTAAGGTAAATATTAAAAGGAGAGTTTTAATAATTAAGTCTGTTCGACTTTTAAAATCTTACATGATTTGAGTTAAAATCGGTGTAAGCCAGATTGGTTTCTATCTTTAATAAAATTTTTAATATTTGTACGAAAGGACTTTATTAAGGGTTAGTTTAATAATTTTTTTAAATTTAATAAAAATAAATTAAATTTAAATTTAGTTAAAAAATAACATTAATATGTCAGATTAAAATTATTTTACGAAAATAATTTATATTTTAAATAGTTTAAATAAAAATTTAATATTGAAGTTATTAAGATGATTTTTTAGTCTTTATATTATATAATATAATTTAATATATTTTATTTCCAATAAAAAAATTTAAGTAATTTTAATATAATAATTTAAGTAATTTAAATAATTTAAATAGTTTAAGTTAAAAATATTGATTTGTGGGGTCAAAGTTATAATTTTTATTTTAAATTGAAACAATTTATATTTAAATTTCTAATTTAAATTAAAATAATTTTTTATTTTTGTTTCTTTAATTAAATCCAAAGAGCGGAAAGTTGTTGTTAACAATTGAATTGAAAATAATTTCTAATTTTAAAATAAGAATAATAGTTAAAATTATAACATTTAAATTGCATTTAAAAATTATTATAAAAATTTATTTTAAAACAAAAAAATATAGTTTAAAAAAAACATTATAATTTCATTATAAAAATTTTATTCTTTAAATATTTTTATTTAAACCAAAGTGTTTAAAATTTGTCTTTAAATTTTGAGTTTAAGTGACAGTATAACAATTTATGTTAAAAATTAAAGAGATGTTTAATTTATTTTGATCTTTATTAATATTTTTATTAAAAAGTTTATCTAAATTTAAGGTTCCACTTTATATAATTTTATTTTTTTTAATTAAGTATGGTGTGTGGTTTATAATTTTAAAAATATGAATTTAAAAAATTATTTATTTATTAATATGTTTAAGCTAATTTATAAAATAATATTCTATAAATTAGTCTTTTTGTAGTCACTTTAAGAGAGTTAATTAATTGAATTCTTCTCCCTCAATTAATATTTAAAAATAAGTTAAGTTAAAACTATTAGACTCATAATCTAAGAATAGATAAAATCTTTTTTAAATAAAATGAAATTAGTATAAAATATAGTAAAATGAAAAATTTAGAAAATGTCAGAAAATGTCAGAAAATGTAAGAAAAATGGAATTTTTTTTTGAAATTTGTAAGAATTACATCAATAGAATTAGAATAAATCCTTATTTATAAGGGGGGTAAGGGGGGTTGAGTTTTTTATTTATTTGTTTAATAAATTAATTTAGTTTTATAATTTTTTATTATACGAATTATATGATTGTTCTTAATATGTTGATTAATGAAAACTTTGTTTTCCATATGAATATGAAAATTTTAATTTATATAGGCAAAAGAAAGGATTTTTAAAAATTAAGTAAATATTAAATTTAGATTTCATAAATTAATAAATTTTTAATATAAGAGGAAAAAATAAATTAAATAATAAAATGTTAAATTTAAAAGGGGCTGATAAAAGAGTAGGAAAGTGTAAAATGAAATTAGTATAAAATTTAGGGAATGAAATTAGTATAAAATATAGTAAAATGAAAAATTTAGGGAATGAAATTAGTATAAAATATAGTAAAATGAAAAATTTAGGGAATGAAATTAGTATAAAATATAGTAAAATGAAAAATTTAGGGAATGAAATTAGTATAAAATATAGTAAAATGAAAAATTTAGGGAATGAAATTAGTATAAAATATAGTAAAATGAAAAATTTAGGAAATGAAATTAGTATAAAATATAGTAAAATGAAAAATTTAGAAAATGTCAGAAAATGTAAGAAAAATGGAATTTTTTTTTGAAATTTGTAAGAATTACATCAATAGAATTAGAATAAATCCTTATTTATAAGGGGGGTAAGGGGGGTTGAGTTTTTTATTTATTTGTTTAATAAATTAATTTAGTTTTATAATTTTTTATTATACGAATTATATGATTGTTCTTAATATGTTGATTAATGAAAACTTTGTTTTCCATATGAATATGAAAATTTTAATTTATATAGGCAAAAGAAAGGATTTTTAAAAATTAAGTAAATATTAAATTTAGATTTCATAAATTAATAAATTTTTAATATAAGAGGAAAAAATAAATTAAATAATAAAATGTTAAATTTAAAAGGGGCTGATAAAAGAGTAGGAAAGTGTAAAATGAAATTAGTATAAAATTTAGGGAATGAAATTAGTATAAAATATAGTAAAATGAAAAATTTAGGGAATGAAATTAGTATAAAATATAGTAAAATGAAAAATTTAGGGAATGAAATTAGTATAAAATATAGTAAAATGAAAAATTTAGAAAATGTCAGAAAATGTAAGAAAAATGGAATTTTTTTTTGAAATTTGTAAGAATTACATCAATAGAATTAGAATAAATCCTTATTTATAAGGGGGGTAAGGGGGGTTGAGTTTTTTATTTATTTGTTTAATAAATTAATTTAGTTTTATAATTTTTTATTATACGAATTATATGATTGTTCTTAATATGTTGATTAATGAAAACTTTGTTTTCCATATGAATATGAAAATTTTAATTTATATAGGCAAAAGAAAGGATTTTTAAAAATTAAGTAAATATTAAATTTAGATTTCATAAATTAATAAATTTTTAATATAAGAGGAAAAAATAAATTAAATAATAAAATGTTAAATTTAAAAGGGGCTGATAAAAGAGTAGGAAAGTGTAAAATGAAATTAGTATAAAATTTAGGGAATGAAATTAGTATAAAATATAGTAAAATGAAAAATTTAGGGAATGAAATTAGTATAAAATATAGTAAAATGAAAAATTTAGGGAATGAAATTAGTATAAAATATAGTAAAATGAAAAATTTAGGGAATGAAATTAGTATAAAATATAGTAAAATGAAAAATTTAGGGAATGAAATTAGTATAAAATATAGTAAAATGAAAAATTTAGGAAATGAAATTAGTATAAAATATAGTAAAATGAAAAATTTAGAAAATGTCAGAAAATGTAAGAAAAATGGAATTTTTTTTTGAAATTTGTAAGAATTACATCAATAGAATTAGAATAAATCCTTATTTATAAGGGGGGTAAGGGGGGTTGAGTTTTTTATTTATTTGTTTAATAAATTAATTTAGTTTTATAATTTTTTATTATACGAATTATATGATTGTTCTTAATATGTTGATTAATGAAAACTTTGTTTTCCATATGAATATGAAAATTTTAATTTATATAGGCAAAAGAAAGGATTTTTAAAAATTAAGTAAATATTAAATTTAGATTTCATAAATTAATAAATTTTTAATATAAGAGGAAAAAATAAATTAAATAATAAAATGTTAAATTTAAAAGGGGCTGATAAAAGAGTAGGAAAGTGTAAAATGAAATTAGTATAAAATTTAGGGAATGAAATTAGTATAAAATATAGTAAAATGAAAAATTTAGGGAATGAAATTAGTATAAAATATAGTAAAATGAAAAATTTAGGAAATGAAATTAGTATAAAATATAGTAAAATGAAAAATTTAGGGAATGAAATTAGTATAAAATATAGTAAAATGAAAAATTTAGGGAATGAAATTAGTATAAAATATAGTAAAATGAAAAATTTAGGGAATGAAATTAGTATAAAATATAGTAAAATGAAAAATTTAGGGAATGAAATTAGTATAAAATATAGTAAAATGAAAAATTTAGGGAATGAAATTAGTATAAAATATAGTAAAATGAAAAATTTAGGGAATGAAATTAGTATAAAATATAGTAAAATGAAAAATTTAGGGAATGAAATTAGTATAAAATATAGTAAAATGAAAAATTTAGAAAATGTCAGAAAATGTAAGAAAAATGGAATTTTTTTTTGAAATTTGTAAGAATTACATCAATAGAATTAGAATAAATCCTTATTTATAAGGGGGGTAAGGGGGGTTGAGTTTTTTATTTATTTGTTTAATAAATTAATTTAGTTTTATAATTTTTTATTATACGAATTATATGATTGTTCTTAATATGTTGATTAATGAAAACTTTGTTTTCCATATGAATATGAAAATTTTAATTTATATAGGCAAAAGAAAGGATTTTTAAAAATTAAGTAAATATTAAATTTAGATTTCATAAATTAATAAATTTTTAATATAAGAGGAAAAAATAAATTAAATAATAAAATGTTAAATTTAAAAGGGGCTGATAAAAGAGTAGGAAAGTGTAAAATGAAATTAGTATAAAATTTAGGGAATGAAATTAGTATAAAATATAGTAAAATGAAAAATTTAGGGAATGAAATTAGTATAAAATATAGTAAAATGAAAAATTTAGGGAATGAAATTAGTATAAAATATAGTAAAATGAAAAATTTAGGAAATGAAATTAGTATAAAATTTAGGGAATGAAATTAGTATAAAATATAGTAAAATGAAAAATTTAGGGAATGAAATTAGTATAAAATATAGTAAAATGAAAAATTTAGGGAATGAAATTAGTATAAAATATAGTAAAATGAAAAATTTAGGAAATGAAATTAGTATAAAATATAGTAAAATGAAAAATTTAGAAAATGTCAGAAAATGTAAGAAAAATGGAATTTTTTTTTGAAATTTGTAAGAATTACATCAATAGAATTAGAATAAATCCTTATTTATAAGGGGGGTAAGGGGGGTTGAGTTTTTTATTTATTTGTTTAATAAATTAATTTAGTTTTATAATTTTTTATTATACGAATTATATGATTGTTCTTAATATGTTGATTAATGAAAACTTTGTTTTCCATATGAATATGAAAATTTTAATTTATATAGGCAAAAGAAAGGATTTTTAAAAATTAAGTAAATATTAAATTTAGATTTCATAAATTAATAAATTTTTAATATAAGAGGAAAAAATAAATTAAATAATAAAATGTTAAATTTAAAAGGGGCTGATAAAAGAGTAGGAAAGTGTAAAATGAAATTAGTATAAAATTTAGGGAATGAAATTAGTATAAAATATAGTAAAATGAAAAATTTAGGGAATGAAATTAGTATAAAATATAGTAAAATGAAAAATTTAGGGAATGAAATTAGTATAAAATATAGTAAAATGAAAAATTTAGGAAATGAAATTAGTATAAAATATAGTAAAATGAAAAATTTAGAAAATGTCAGAAAATGTAAGAAAAATGGAATTTTTTTTTGAAATTTGTAAGAATTACATCAATAGAATTAGAATAAATCCTTATTTATAAGGGGGGTAAGGGGGGTTGAGTTTTTTATTTATTTGTTTAATAAATTAATTTAGTTTTATAATTTTTTATTATACGAATTATATGATTGTTCTTAATATGTTGATTAATGAAAACTTTGTTTTCCATATGAATATGAAAATTTTAATTTATATAGGCAAAAGAAAGGATTTTTAAAAATTAAGTAAATATTAAATTTAGATTTCATAAATTAATAAATTTTTAATATAAGAGGAAAAAATAAATTAAATAATAAAATGTTAAATTTAAAAGGGGCTGATAAAAGAGTAGGAAAGTGTAAAATGAAATTAGTATAAAATTTAGGGAATGAAATTAGTATAAAATATAGTAAAATGAAAAATTTAGGGAATGAAATTAGTATAAAATATAGTAAAATGAAAAATTTAGGAAATGAAATTAGTATAAAATATAGTAAAATGAAAAATTTAGGGAATGAAATTAGTATAAAATATAGTAAAATGAAAAATTTAGGGAATGAAATTAGTATAAAATATAGTAAAATGAAAAATTTAGGGAATGAAATTAGTATAAAATATAGTAAAATGAAAAATTTAGGGAATGAAATTAGTATAAAATATAGTAAAATGAAAAATTTAGGGAATGAAATTAGTATAAAATATAGTAAAATGAAAAATTTAGGGAATGAAATTAGTATAAAATATAGTAAAATGAAAAATTTAGGGAATGAAATTAGTATAAAATATAGTAAAATGAAAAATTTAGGGAATGAAATTAGTATAAAATATAGTAAAATGAAAAATTTAGGGAATGAAATTAGTATAAAATATAGTAAAATGAAAAATTTAGAAAATGTCAGAAAATGTAAGAAAAATGGAATTTTTTTTTGAAATTTGTAAGAATTACATCAATAGAATTAGAATAAATCCTTATTTATAAGGGGGGTAAGGGGGGTTGAGTTTTTTATTTATTTGTTTAATAAATTAATTTAGTTTTATAATTTTTTATTATACGAATTATATGATTGTTCTTAATATGTTGATTAATGAAAACTTTGTTTTCCATATGAATATGAAAATTTTAATTTATATAGGCAAAAGAAAGGATTTTTAAAAATTAAGTAAATATTAAATTTAGATTTCATAAATTAATAAATTTTTAATATAAGAGGAAAAAATAAATTAAATAATAAAATGTTAAATTTAAAAGGGGCTGATAAAAGAGTAGGAAAGTGTAAAATGAAATTAGTATAAAATTTAGGGAATGAAATTAGTATAAAATATAGTAAAATGAAAAATTTAGGGAATGAAATTAGTATAAAATATAGTAAAATGAAAAATTTAGGGAATGAAATTAGTATAAAATATAGTAAAATGAAAAATTTAGGGAATGAAATTAGTATAAAATATAGTAAAATGAAAAATTTAGGGAATGAAATTAGTATAAAATATAGTAAAATGAAAAATTTAGGGAATGAAATTAGTATAAAATATAGTAAAATGAAAAATTTAGGGAATGAAATTAGTATAAAATATAGTAAAATGAAAAATTTAGAAAATGTCAGAAAATGTAAGAAAAATGGAATTTTTTTTTGAAATTTGTAAGAATTACATCAATAGAATTAGAATAAATCCTTATTTATAAGGGGGGTAAGGGGGGTTGAGTTTTTTATTTATTTGTTTAATAAATTAATTTAGTTTTATAATTTTTTATTATACGAATTATATGATTGTTCTTAATATGTTGATTAATGAAAACTTTGTTTTCCATATGAATATGAAAATTTTAATTTATATAGGCAAAAGAAAGGATTTTTAAAAATTAAGTAAATATTAAATTTAGATTTCATAAATTAATAAATTTTTAATATAAGAGGAAAAAATAAATTAAATAATAAAATGTTAAATTTAAAAGGGGCTGATAAAAGAGTAGGAAAGTGTAAAATGAAATTAGTATAAAATTTAGGGAATGAAATTAGTATAAAATATAGTAAAATGAAAAATTTAGGGAATGAAATTAGTATAAAATATAGTAAAATGAAAAATTTAGGGAATGAAATTAGTATAAAATATAGTAAAATGAAAAATTTAGGAAATGAAATTAGTATAAAATTTAGGGAATGAAATTAGTATAAAATATAGTAAAATGAAAAATTTAGGGAATGAAATTAGTATAAAATATAGTAAAATGAAAAATTTAGGGAATGAAATTAGTATAAAATATAGTAAAATGAAAAATTTAGGGAATGAAATTAGTATAAAATATAGTAAAATGAAAAATTTAGAAAATGTCAGAAAATGTAAGAAAAATGGAATTTTTTTTTGAAATTTGTAAGAATTACATCAATAGAATTAAAATAAATCCTTATTTATAAGGGGGGTAAGGGGGGTTGAGTTTTTTATTTATTTGTTTAATAAATTAATTTAGTTTTATAATTTTTTATTATACGAATTATATGATTGTTCTTAATATGTTGATTAATGAAAACTTTGTTTTCCATATGAATATGAAAATTTTAATTTATATAGGCAAAAGAAAGGATTTTTAAAAATTAAGTAAATATTAAATTTAGATTTCATAAATTAATAAATTTTTAATATAAGAGGAAAAAATAATATTAGTAGAAAGGTATAAAATTAAATAAAAATAAAATTAATAAAAGTATAAAAAAATTGTGGGGGGAGTAAGATATGTGTAAAAAATTTTTGTAATTTTTTACAGTTTTAGATAAAAAAATTGTGGGGAAAAGAATTTTAAGATAAAAGTAGTAGAATATTACAGTAGATATAATTAAAAGGAAAGTTAATCTTAGAGATAGGGAGTTTATATAAATTTGAATAGTGTATATTTTTATAAAAAATATAATTGTTGGGGGTATTATTATTAATAATAATATTAAGGTAAAAATATAAATTTTATTATTATTATTAATTTTATAAATATTTTTTAGGTTAAAAATATTTATTTCTATAAATTTAAATATTAGATAAGTTAAAGTTATTGTGTATAGTGAAAAATAAATTATTCATATATAAATATTTCAATTTAATAATAATAAAAGTCATCTTGAATGGTTGATTGATGAGGCCCCTAAAATAATTTTAATGGAATTTTTTTCCCAAATTAAAAAAACTCTAGAAATTGAATTTAGTGCAATTAATAAATAAAATAAGTTTATTTGGAATAAGCTTATATCAAAAGTTATTATTATTTTTCTAAATATATAATAAATAAGAATTTTTTGTGCAGTAAATAAAATAAGACAGTTAATATAAGACAAGTGAGGGATAATATTTATGTATCAAAATAAAAATGGGAATATACCTATTTTTATAAAAATAACAAATATTAAAATAATAAATAGTAATATGTTTAATGAAATTAAATACTCTGATGCAAAAGAAATGAATATTAATGAGGATGAGATACATTGGAAAATAAAATATTTAATAAAATTATCATTAAAATTTTTATTAAAAAAGATTATTACTGGGATAAAAGATATGGTATTAACTTCTAATCAAAGTCATATAAAGAATATTGTCTTGGAGTTGATTCCTATGAAGATTCTTAAAATTAGTATAAATAAAAATGGGGATAAATTAATTTTATTTAAAATATATTTTAGGTAAAAATTTAATTACAATAAATTTTTATAAATGTATAGTAATAAAATAGTTAGAATATTTTTTAATAAATTTACAGTTTATTTCTTAAATCAGACATATTACTAATTTTTAATTTAATTAAAATATTTCTTTTACATTGAAAAAATAATTTTTAAAATTAAAATTAAATTTATAATTTTATAATAAAATGAATATTTTCTGCTAATCATAAAGATATTGGTGTAATATATTTTATATTTGGAATTTGGTCTGGAATGGTTGGAGCAGGGTTAAGTTTAATTATTCGAATAGAGTTAGGGACCCCAAGTCAGTTAATTAATAATGATCAAATTTATAATTCTATTGTTACAGCCCATGCTTTTGTAATAATTTTTTTTATGGTTATACCAATTATAGTTGGGGGGTTTGGAAATTATCTGGTTCCTTTGATAATTACGGTTCCTGACATAGCTTTTCCACGTCTTAATAATATAAGGTTATGGTTATTATTTCCTTCTTTAATTTTAATAATTATAAGGATATTTATTGATCAAGGGGCTGGAACAGGGTGAACTGTGTATCCACCTTTATCTTTAAGAATAAGGCACCCAGGGGTTTCAACAGATTTAGTAATTTTTTCATTACATTTGAGGGGGGTGTCATCAATTTTAGGGTCAATTAATTTTATTTCAACAATTTTAAATATTCGTCCAAATTTAATGAGAATAGATAAAATTACTTTATTTTGTTGATCAATTTTTTTAACAACAATTTTATTATTATTGTCATTACCTGTTTTAGCAGGAGGAATTACAATATTACTTTTTGATCGAAATTTAAATACTTCTTTTTATGATCCTGTTGGGGGTGGGGATCCTGTTCTTTATCAACATTTATTTTGATTTTTTGGGCATCCTGAAGTTTATATTTTAATTTTACCTGGGTTTGGAATAATTTCTCATATAATTTTTACAGAAGGTGGGAAAAAAGGGACTTTTGGAAGGTTAGGGATAATGTATGCAATAATTTCAATTGGTGTTTTAGGATTTATTGTATGGGGGCATCATATGTTTACAGTTGGGATAGATGTGGATACTCGAGCTTATTATACATCAGTAACAATAATTATTGCAGTTCCTACTGGTATTAAAGTATTTAGGTGGTTAGCTACTATTATGGGGAGAAAAATTGATTTTAATATTATTATTTTATGAATTATTGGATTTATTTTTTTATTTTCTTTAGGGGGAATGACTGGAATCACATTATCAAATTCTTCAATTGATCTTGTTATACATGATACATATTATGTAGTAGCTCATTTTCATTATGTTTTATCTATAGGGGCAGTTTTTTCAATTATTGGGGGGTTTATTTTTTGGTATCCTTTAATTTGTGGGTTAACTTTAAATCCTAAATGGTTGAAAGTTCAATTTTTAATTATGTTTATTGGTGTTAATTTAACTTTTTTCCCTCAACATTTTTTAGGGTTAAGAGGGATACCACGTCGATACTCAGATTATCCTGATAGATATTTATTATGAAATGTTGTTTCTTCAATAGGGTCTTTAATTTCAATTACTAGGTTAATTTATTTAATTTTTATTATTTGAGAAAGAATAATTGTAGAACGTTTAATTTTATTTAAAAATTATTTAAATATTTCTGTAGAGTGAAAGCATTTAGCTCCACCTTTGTTACATTCTTATTTAGAAGAGTCAAAATTGAATTTTTAAATTATTAAAGAGTGATTTATTTTAATATTACAAGATTCTGTTTCACCAATAATAGAGTGAATGATAATATTTCATGATTTTACTTTGTTTATTAATTTAATAATTACAGTTATTATTGTATGAATTTTTTTAATTATAATGAAAAGTAAATATATTAATTTTTCAATTGAGAGGCAAAATATTGAGATTATTTGAACTTTAATTCCAATTATTTTATTAGTTATCTTGGGTATTCCTTCAATAAAAATTTTATACATGTTAGATGAAGTTTATTGTCCTTTGATAACTATTAAAGGAATTGGTCATCAATGGTATTGGTCTTATGAATATTCAGATTTTAACCTAAAAGGGTTAGATTCTTACATAGATAAAGATATTAGGTTAGATAGATTTCGATTATTAGACGCTACAGAGTCCTTAATTTTACCTATTTTAGTTTCCATTCGAATTTTAGTTTCATCTGAAGATGTAATTCATTCATTTGCAGTTCCTTCTTTAGGGGTAAAAGTGGATGCTATTCCTGGTCGGTTAAACCAGATAATAGTAAATATTTTAATACCAGGGATTCATTATGGGCAATGTTCAGAAATTTGTGGGATAGCTCATAGATTTATACCTATTATAGTTGAGTCAACAACAATTAGAAATTTTTTAGATTTTGTTGATATAATTTAAATATAATTAAGTAACTTAAGAAAAGTGAAAGAGTTTTAATCTTTTTATAGTATAAAATTACTCTTAATTAATTCCTCAAATAAAGCCGATTAATTGATTATATTTATTATTTTACATAATTTTATTAGTTGTTTCATATCTAATTATAGTAAGGTACATGACTTTAATTTATTTTTTTAAAAAAGATAAAAAGGTTGGAAATAAATTTGAGTGGAAAATAAAATGATAACAAATTTATTTGATATTTTTGATCCATCAAGAAGAACATCTATGTCTATTAATTGATTAAGAATAGTTTATTTTATTTTAGTGATTCCAGTGATATTCTGAAGGGTTCCTTCAAAATATCAGATACTTTGAAATATAACTTTAGAGGGTATTAGAGGGGAGTTAAAAACAGCTTTAAATAAGTATGGTGTAATAAATATTTTAATTTTTATTTCTTTATTTATTTTTATTTTTTTAAATAATTTTATTAGGTTATTTCCATATATTTTTACAAGAACAAGGCATATTTGTATTTCAATCTCGATATCATTAATAATTTGATTTGGAATAATGTTATTTGGTTGGGGAAATTTTAGGAATCATATGTTTGTTCATTTAACCCCATTAGGAACCCCAAAGGTTTTAATACCTTTTATAGTTATAATTGAATTAATTAGAAGGGTTATTCGACCATTAACATTATCTGTTCGTCTTTCAGCAAATATTATTGCAGGTCATTTATTAATTACTTTAATAAGGCAATCTTCAAAAATATTAAATATTGTTATAATTATTGTTCTTGTTTTAGTTC